CTTTCCCTCCAATCACAGGAATCCTTTGAACATTTTGCCAAAATAAAATATTAAACAACAAAAAACTTTTAGAAGCGGTTACTTTTTTCTATGAAAAGTTGTTCTTTTTTTTTTTTTTTTTGAGATTACCAATGAACATCACATTCTAAGCGTCCTATTATTCTAATCCTACGAACATCCCCAAGAAATTATTTTCACGATTTAAACTAAATGAAAAAAATATATATATTAAAAGAAGAAGAAAGTGCTTACATAAACTTGGTATTCATCAAAAAATGGAATCGCCTGAGAGTGTCCCAAAATACAACTGGGTCCTTCACAACCTCCTCCTGGGAAGCAAATAGTGGAGGATAGTGCAAATCCTTCTCTCTGTTCCACCCCTTGCTTCTAGCCACCGGCGACATGTTTGTCTTTCCGGTTGCCGGTAAACCAGACACAAAACAAAAGAACCTGAACAGAGAACAGAACTGAGATTGAGAAGTGTTGAAGATATTATTTATTTATATTAAATAAAGAGGTGAAAGAACAAAACAAAAGAGTAATGTAAATGATAATAAGAAGGAAGTAAAAGTAAATAATTTTTCAAAGATAGGACAGTAATTAAAGGGGGGAGAGTAAATAAGTCTGACCAAAGGCTGTGTACAAAAGAAATGGGGATTGGACGCGTGGGATGTAACGGTTACACGAAATTGGCTTTTTCTGACAACTTTTTAAAAATACTGTCCCATAACCCTTAATAATGCTTAGCATTTATTTAATTGTTCACGAGTGATAACTGTTGATAATTACAAATAGTGTATATTCTTGCATATATATATATATATATATATACATAGACTCGTTTATTTCACCGATTCAATTTAGAATTTGAGTTTTGTTACAGTAAAAAGCTCTTAAAAATATTCACATCTAACTTTTTTATTACAGTAAAAAATTCTCACATAAAATTACATCTCAACTTAAATTATAAATTCGAATCAATAAAGTAAACAGGCTCATATACTCCCTGAATTTTAAGGGTCTAGAAACTTACCTCTTAAATTTTTTTTTAATAATTTACCCCGCAACTTGCAAAACACTTACAATTTACCCCATTTTATCAATTTTACTTTTGATTTTTTTTTTCGGGGGATTAAGAATTGGGAAATTATATATTTGTATTATGGATCTTATGGTTTGAATTGAGATGTTAAAATTTGTTGTTGAATGTGTTTTTTAGTCACAAATTTTAACACGATAATCATTAAAATGGGATATATTACAACTGTTTTACAAGTTGATGAGGCATATAAAAAATTAAAAATTAAAAGAGTAAATTGTCAAAATTACTGCAAAAATCAAGGGCAAATGTGTAAATAGACCTTACAAACACAACACTCTCTCTTATAGCTATAGGTGAACTCTTTCTTTCCCGTGTCACTCCCAAGTCTGACATCTCTGGCGCAGCGTAAATCTTTGGGTTTGTTTCACTAATCACTCCACTCCCTTCTCTTGTCACTTTTTTATCCCAAAGTCCAAACATGGACATGCACTTGGCCGCTTGGGCTTTCTTTCTCCTAAAAAGTCTTTCTAAATCAAGTCTTTAGCGTACATCTGCTAGTAGATATCTGATTGGGCTTTTAAAGGTACATAGTGCCCGTTTAATTTTTAATTTTTAATTTAAATTGAGATGTAATTTTATGTGAGAATTTTTTATTATAGTAAAAAAAATTAGATGTAATTATTTTTAAAAATTTTTTATTTATACCAAAACTCAAATTTTAAACTCGAATCGGTGAAATGAACAGGGCCTAAAGTGCACCCGGGCCTACGGTTAGCAGGAGTTATTAAGGGCTCGTTTAGTTCGCTAATTCAAATTTTTAATTCGAATTTATATGTAATTTTATGTGATAATTTTTTATTGTAATAAAAAAATTAGATATAACTATTTTTTAAAATTTTTTACTATAAAAAAATTCAAATTTTAAAGTCACATCAGTAAAATAAACGGAGCTTAAAAATCATGAATCGTTAACTTAGGCGAGAATGAAATGCTGGATTGGATTTTTCTCTTTTCTACCTTATGTGGGTCCTCAGTTTATCCGTTGAGACGTGAAACATATTTCGGGCCCGTTTAGTTCGCTGATTCGAGTTTTTAATTCGAGTTGAGATGTGATTTTATGTGAGAGCTTTTTACTGTAGTAAAAAAGTTAGATGTGATTGTTTGTGAGAGCTTTTTACTGTAGCAAAACTCGAATTCTAAACTCGAATCAGCGAAATGAACGGGGCCGTCCTTCCATATGTGAGCCTCACGTGGTGGCTTAAGATTGCTGACTCGGAAATTACTTTTTATTTTTCTCTTTCATTTGTTCTTTTTCTTTTTCTTTCCCCGTATCTTTTTTTTTTTTTTTTTGGCTTGTGTTTTTTTCACCTTTGCTTGCTAATTCTATTTCAAACTTTCTCATTCGTCCCTTTATTATTATTATTATTAAAATCCCCGCTTCATATGGTAAACAGCATTGCATCTTTGAAATTACCACAAAATACAAAGGTAATTTGCACTGTTGATCTCTCAACTCTTTAGTAAATAATATTTTAGTCTTTTTCTTTAATTTTGATAAAATGATCCTTGAACTCTCTTAATATTGGCAATCAAGTTCTTTATGTCAAATTCTGTTAAATTTCTTACGGATTCTTACAGTAACC